TTTCGATTACCGAAGTAAGCCTTGCGGCGGGAGGGTGTGTGTGTGTGTGTGTGTGTATGAAACAGATATGGCCCATAGCATCTGCTCCGTGGCTCAGAAGCTGGCTGACACCGATTTGGGGGAGCGAAACGAACCAGATAGACTCCCCTCAGGCTGGACGAAAAGGGCTGTTTTCTAAAGTCAGGGTCCTTGTTTTGAAAAATCGAGATTGATGATGATGATGATGATGATGATGATGATGATGGTACAGTTTAGAGCAGAGAGCGCTCGAGTGAACAGATTTGGTAAGTTCTGCTGCCAATTAACGCGTTTGGGACAGGGCTTGACTGACTATCTGGATGAGCAAAGGGCTTCCGAAGTCAACTACCAACACGGGCTCAACTGTTGCATTTTGATTGCCCCATGCTTGTCCTGACTGGCAGGCTTCATTCCATACCCCACCCCACCCTCCGCCGCCCCGTACCGTCCCCTCCATGTCCTCATTAGCAAATGTTTCCCCAGAACATTGAGGTTCCTCAGACAAAAAAAAGGGGGGGCAGGGGGAATTATTAGGCGGTTAGTGCACCTGATCCCTGTCTCGGTGGCAGGGTTTTCCTCGACTCTGAACAGTTGGGAAGTCTGTAAAGCTATTGTGCAGGATGGCATCGGCTGCTATTGTGGCCAGGCGAAAGCAATGAAAAGGAGAGCCGAATAAAAGAATAAATCCTGCTCCTGCTGCCATGGATAAATTATTATTGGCAATTTGCTCCACTGGATCCACAGCCTGGGTGTGTTTGAAATGCAATTCGACCCCCCTCTTGGTTAGCGCCCTCGCCTATAAATCCCTATAAAACATTACATAACGCTATTTGAGACAAGAGGTGTCATCGTGAAGAGAAATACGAGAAGTAGAAGTTTGTTGCGTAAAGGCATCAAGAGTAAGTTTCATTGCTGGGCAGTGTCCCTCGGGTTAGTTTAGTTTTAAAAACTAAACTAAAAAAAAATCATGGGATTTAACTTAGAACCGTAGTGTCCCTGAAGTTGCAGGTGTAATGGGAGCTGTAATGAGATCCAATCGAAGCCAAAGACCGGGGTTTTTTTTTAGAATGAAATTGTACTGGACAATGCTTCCAGTGCACAATCTTTGAGGGTTACCCACAAAAACGTTTCACGAAGTTAAGTAACACTTACTTCCTAGGAAGCATGCTTGCAGAATATTATGTGTACATATGTGCAGTTGTGTGTGGCGGTTTTAAAGGTTTACTTCTTCTTGGCCTAGGGTACTCAGAATGACCAAATCATACAGTGAGCACCCACTGATGGGAAAACCTCAGCCCCAAGGTAACCCCAGCTGGACTGACGATTGCCTCAGCTCTCAGGACGACGAACATGAGATGGACAAGAAAGAGGAGGACCTGGAAACCTTACAGGCAGAGGCTGATGTCGCATCTCTGAGAAACGGGGAGGAAGAGGAGGAAGAAGAAGAGGAGGATGAGTTAGAGGACGAGGAAGCAGATGACGACGAGGAGGAGATAGAGGAGGAGGAAGAAGAAGGCGAGGAGGACGACCAAAAGCCCAAGAGACGTGGTCCCAAGAAGAAGAAGATGACGAAAGCGCGGATGGAGAGATTCAAGCTGCGGCGTATGAAGGCCAACGCCCGCGAGCGGAACCGCATGCACGGCCTCAACGCCGCCCTGGACAATCTGCGGAAAGTGGTGCCCTGCTACTCCAAAACGCAGAAGCTGTCCAAGATCGAGACGCTGCGCCTGGCCAAAAACTATATCGGGGCCCTCTCCGAGATCTTGCGCTCGGGCAAGAGCCCCGACTTGGTCTCCTTCGTGCAGAGTCTCTGCAAAGGCTTATCTCAGCCCACGACCAACCTGGTGGCCGGCTGCCTCCAGCTCAACCCGCGGACCTTCCTGCCTGAGCAGAACCCGGAGCTGCTGCCCCACGTCCAGCCCACCAGCGCTTCCTTCCCGGGCCACCCCTACCCCTACCAGTCGCCCGGCCTTCCGAGTCCTCCCTACGGCACCATGGACAGCTCCCACCTCTTCCATCTCAAGGCGGCGCCCGCCTACGGGTCGGCGCTGGAGCCCTTCTTCGAGAGCGCCCTGGCCGAAGGCGAGAGCCCTGCTTTCGACGGGCCCCTCAGCCCGCCGCTCAGCGTCAACGGGAATTTCTCCTTCAAGCACGAACCGTCCAACGAGTTCGAGAAGAACTACGCCTTCACCATGCACTACCCGACCGCCGCCGGCCTGGCCGGAGCTCCTGGCCACGGCTCCATCTTCGCCTGCTCGGCCTCGCGCTGCGACCTCCCTCTCGACAGCCTCCTGCCCTACGAGAGCCAGGTCCACCACGAGCGGGTCATGAGCGCCCAGCTCAACGCGATCTTTCAGGACTGAGCCCTTCCAGCCGCTAAGGCGGAACCAAGATGCTCGCGGCGACCACGGACTCCGGGCTTTATTCGTTTGCGCGCCAGGGCGCGAAGACGGAGGGAGTGGAGAAAAAGGCACAACGCTTCCAGGCTTCAGAGTCCCCCTGATGCGTACTATAGTTGTCGCCTTCAGGAGCAACGGAGAGGCGGACGTTCTCCTGGGCCCGCCGGTCCCCTCGCCCTTTCCTCCCGCCACTCCGAATCTTGAGATGGCGTTGATTAGATAAAGTTCGGCTTCCCCTTGATTTGATCGGCACAACAAACCACAAGCAATAATTAGGATCTATGCAATGTTGTTGTTTTTTTATTAAAACAAAAAAACACTAAATCGGTCAGTTACAAAAAAGAAAGAAATGAAAGAAATTAAAAGTATATATAAAATTTATATTTTTCAATCGACATTTTTCCTACTTGTTACCTTTCCCGTGTTGGCTTATTTTGTTGTGATTTTTGTACAGGATTTTTAATAACTTTTGATAAACTATTTTGAACCAGGCAGCTCCATCAATTTTTATACCTATCAGAAACAAAGTAGAATAATATCTAATTTATATAGAATAATTTAAGTAATTTAAACCAGCAGAAAAATACTTCGAAGATCAAGGGAGAAAAAAGCTGTTTGTTGCCTTAGCATCTCCCCCATTCAATTTCTAAATCTTCACACAGACACACAGACACAGGCACACACAGACACACAGACACACACACAGACACACACACACACACACACACACACACACGACACAGACACCCCTACAAAACTTTTTGTTTTATGGGGGGGTAAGAAAACCTCTATATAATTTTCATTTATAAAGATGCTTGAAATGATGAAAGAAGGAAAATATTTATTTCCTATTAATTATATTGACATATTATTCCAAAAGTTCTGCAAAATTGTGTGTATATGTGTGTGTGTGTGTGTGTGTGCATGCAGACATACACCCTTGTTCTCATGAGCAAATATCCTGCACTTATCCACAGAAAACAGCTGCTTTAGAATCACATTCAACTTGCAATGTTTTTTAAAGCTCTTTGGAGTCCACCCTAATTTCTTTCAGATTTTGAAGAAACTACAGATAAAGAAACATTGTTTTCATGCAACATTAAATGCATGATTTTTAAAATACATAGTTATATAATTTTTTTATTTCTGTCCAGGAGGAAAAAAGTAAAAAGGTTTATGATCGTTGGGTTATATTATATGCCAATTGTAGTTAGCAGTTTTCAAACTAATGCAAACCATTTGACTTTGTAATTAGAACAAGATAGTTATGCATGCACAATGCAACCCAGAGTAAGTGCTGTCTGAAATGTAATGCTGGTTCATCTGAAATCAATCTGTACTGTAATTTTGTTTGTAATCCTGTATGTGACAGCGTAATGCACATTTGGAATGTTAAAAAACAAAACAAAACACAAGCTGGGTGATGAAGTAGTGAAGAGCCATTGGTCAAATGTTGCATTTCTTCCTAAGTCCCTTGCTCCATTCCTTCCCCTTCCCACAATTCCTATGGGATTATTGTAATAGTTATTAAAAGATGCAACTATTTGTACAATAAAATGAGGTTTGAAAAAATCCCGAGGTGCGATCCAGTAAATCAACAGACGCATTAAACTACAAAAAGACTATCTGAAATGGAGGCTTCAGGAAGCATGGTTTCAGCTCCAGTCTAATAAAGTATGAAAAAGGCAGCCTGCTGAATCATCCCGAGGCCTGCATAATTGACAGCTCTTCAATAATAGAATACAATTCACAGACAGTAGTAGGATGAGAAGGCAAATTGATTAAGGTCACGTCTTCAATGATCAAATTGTGGAGATGTCCACTGTAGTTGAAGCTGGAAGTCCCACACTATGTCTTGGAAGTATTTTTCATTACCCTAAAGGAAAGTGAAGAGGAGTTAAAAAATTAAGGGAAAGGAAAAGGTTTATCTTGTTACAACTGTTATGAATGACTTCACAAGACTTTAAAAGATACTCTGATGCATCTCAAAGTAAACTGAAGTAAGGGTTGGTTAATCCTCCTCTCTGGAGCAGATAAGGGTTTAGTTCCACTCTTGCAAATGACATCAAGATTGTACAGATACATTGACAAGAAGTCATAAGGTTGTTGCTCCAACTTGTGTGCACAAATAATGATTAGTAGAAGTTTTCTGTAACACTTGAAATAATTATTGATATCAAAGTGAAGATCTTTCTGACCGAAAAAACATATATAGGAAAACAAGGAAAGGGTTTTAAAAAGTAAACATCTGAGTAAAGTATGATTTCCCAGATGTTCTGCAATAAACATGATCTCCACTCAGTTTCAGCACCAGTTCCATTTTCTCAAAATCAAGTGGATGTCACTTGGAATATACTAATATGAACAATCCTCTACAATGATGTTTGGAATTAATTTCTTCTCTTTGATGATGACATGCATATCAATAATGCTTGTAAACTAGCATGTGAGTGAAGATACGGTTCCTCAAAAGTAGGCTTTGCAACACAAGGATGGGTTTCCCAGTCAACTGTATTAACTTGAGAAAAATATTATTGCACTGGACAACATCAAAAGGACAAAACTAGCTAAGTATCTTCTTGCATCTCATTCATGTTTTTAGAAATCTGTGCCTGAATAGGACATTACAAATCAAGAGCTTGGAAAGCACATTTTTAATTTTTCTGACTTTAATAGATTTAAACTAGATGAAGTGACCCCCATTGGACATTGATACTAAATATAAATTAAAGAATAATTTCAATATCCTGATGAAGGGAAGGCATGGGAATGTTTATATAGACCATGTGATTTTCATTAAGAAACTCCCTGTTATATCTCCAGTGGAAAAGAATCCAAATAACACTGATAACCCAGAAAGACTTCTCTATATTAGAACATATATTGAGTTAAACAGACAAATAAAATGACCTATCATTATCTTCCAAAAATTCAAGATATATTGACTTCCAAGAAAAGATGCTGGCTAAAATCATCATCAAATTTAAGTATCCTCAAATTGTAAGTGGAACATTGATATAAAAGCATATTGACTTGCACAAGATAATTTACAGATCTCTTGTATCCATGTTTCAGTCATTAGGCAGACTAGAATTGATAAAATGTCTGCAACCATAGTTAGATTACTCTGTTAACAGTTATCAGGAAACTACATAAAAGACAGGGTTCCACTTATGGAAGCCACACTCACTTCCATCTTCCAACAGTGATTCAAATCCATAGACTCTATGTAGTGAGTTTTCTTTTTAAAAAAACCTACCACATGATAATTATCCATAGTCTTCTTTTTCATTTTTATTATAAAAAGCTGGTTTGCTGTGCTGACGCATGTATACGCATCATCTACCTACTTATGAATACTAGTTGTGTAGAATTATTGGTATCTGTGTCAATTTTAAGCTTTCTTCTGAGAAACCAATTCATAATCTGTATGAATATCACTGGGATTTGATAGCAAAGCACACCCTTTTTCTTGTTTCCAACAGTATAGAAATCTAGCCATTCTTTCCCCTTCAAAGCTGATTTTATTGTCTAGTTTTTTGCAGGACCAGCAAAAGTCCCCCAAGAAACACAGGACTTTGAGAAAACATCACCTTTTTCTCTTCCAGATGAACAGATTAGGTCTATCTGATCTTAAATTAGGTGGAATATGTGTCTACTTCTTGCATTATGTGTTCTCTGTTTCCACACAACCTGGTTAATGAATAAGCCCATCTTCTGGGTTTGGACAATCCACTGAACTTTAAAATGACAAATGGGTTGGATTTGCACAATATGTTAAACCCATAAAGAACTGTATCTTTATACTGCATCGTTTTATCTGCTAAATCTTTATTTGAACTGATTAAGTATCTACTGTGAACACAAACAACATATGCTATGCAAATTATAGGAGTGAGCAAGGATAATGATGGGGGAAAAAGATCTTTGATTTAAATTGGATGGATAGTGCACAAGAAAAGCCAACTTAAATGTGCTATTTCACTACTGCCAATGTAGCAAATGGCTCTAATAATGTCCTGGGCTGCCTATTTGTGGTACATTGAATTGGGCTTGGCATCTATTCTTAATGCTTAGCCTTTACATCTGGTAAGCAATTCTATATCATCCTTAGTTAAGATCTGAAGTTTTGATTTTTAACCATTCAACTTGCTCTTCTGCATTCCCCAAATGGGGAATTTGCTGCTGTTTTATTCCTATTATTTCTGCATGTTGATTAGAGCCTTTTATGCACAGTAAATGTGGAGGCATCAGCCTTTAATTATTTGTTTATTCATCACATGTGTATACTTGCCCATCTCATATACGTGACTCTGAGTGGTATACAATAAAAATGTACATTGATAGCACTTGGACGGTGCCATCAATGTTGCAGTTCATTTCTAGTTGTTTGATCTTGTATATTTGTCTTTGCTACTGATAGAACATAGGATTATAACTAATTGATGCCAAAGCAAGATCATTGTTCTTCACCTGAGTTTATGACTCATGGGGGATTTGAACCAAACTCATTCTTTTAGTATTACACGAGTGAAGATATGAGAAAAGAGCAGTAATAATATACTGCTCACAAAAATAAAGGGAACATTTTACCATGGAACTGAAGGGGTTTGCGTTCCCTTTATTTTTGTGAGCAGTATATATAGAAGGCAAATTTGATAAAATGATAGTCATTATTACAAATGAAGGCAAATATATGTGTCCCAGGATAATGTTGCAGGATCCAATCTGAGTCAGTCATCAGGACCAGAGTTTGACTCTTCCAAGTTTTTGGACTTGTGCTGGAGCCAATCCTTAGGGAACTTCTCTCTTTCAGAATGTTGGGCTATGTCAGTGGTGGCGAACCTATGGCACGGGTGCCAGAGGCGGCACTCAGAGCCCTCTCTGTGGGCACACGCGCCATCGCCCCAGTCCTAGGCCTTCAGCTGGGTTTTATAAAACCTTTTTGCTTTAGGCCTCCGCTG